CGGTGGTGCAGGCCCGACTCTGGGCACCTCCTCCTGCTTGCGGCTCTCCTCCGCCCGCCCGCCACGGCTGGCGGCCTGGCTCATCGCCGCGTAGCACTCGGTCCCTGTGCGGCCTTGGGCCGCAGGGCGGGCCGCGCTTCCCCGCGCGGGGCCGCCCCCTCAAGGGCCCGAGAAAGAAACTTGAGCCCCGAAGGGGCCACAGAGGGGGAAAGGGAAAGAGAGCAGCAGAGACCCTTCCCCCTCACCAGGCACTTACTCCCAGAAACCCTACGTTTCCCGCATGCTCAAACTCTCAATTCTCCGCCTCCTCCGCCTCCTCCGCCTCCTCCTCCTCCTCCTCCTCCTCCCCCACCTCCTCCTCCTCCTCCTCCTCCTCTCCTCCTTCTCCTCCTCCTCCTCCTCTCCCCCTCCCCTCCTCCTCCTCCTGCTCCTCCTGCTCCTCCTGCTCGTCCTCCTCTTCCTGCTCCTCCTGCTTCTCCTGCTCCTCCTGCATCTCCCGTCCCTCCTGCTCCTCCTCGTCCCCATCCTCATCATCATCAGCAGCAACAGCAGCAGCATCACCGTCATCACCGTCATCACCGTCATCATCATCATCACCATCATCATCATCAGCATCATCATCATTATCATCATCACTATCATCAACATCATCATCATCACCATCACCTGATCGCCATTACCATCATCATCATCACCACCACCAGCACCACCACCACCATCATCATCATCACCATCACCATCATCATAATCATGATCATCATCATCATCACCATCACCATCACCATCACCATCACCATCACCATCATCATCATCATCATCATCATCAGCATCATCATTACCATCATCATCATCATCAGGAGGATGAGGAGGAGGAGGAGGAAAAGGAGGGGGAGGAGGAGGAGGAGGAGGAGGGAGGAGGAAGAGCAGGAGCAGGAGGAGGAGGAGGAGGAGAGGTGAGGAGGAGGAGAAGCCACTGGGGCTCAGGCCATTTTGGCGGAGCACAGGGCTCAGGCGCCGCGCCCCCCCCCCCCCCCCCCCCCCCTCCGCGATACTTCCTCGTGAAAGCTCCCGCGGCCAGTCCCGCGGCTGAGCACCAGGGGGCGCGCGCGACCCACGGCGCGCTCGGGACGCCGCAGGGGCCCCCCCGAGCCAGCCTGGCACAAGAGGCAGCGGGCGCAGCGAGGGCGAGCTCGCCTTCTCCTCAGCGTGTTCCAGGCCGAGCGCCTCCTCGAGTCGCATCATAGCACGATGGGGGGGGGGGGGGGGGGGGGGCGCTTGGACATGCAGGCAATGCGAGACAAGGAATCCTAACTCTCAGTGGACATGCGCTTGTGGCAACGTGTGGGCTCCTCGCCCCGATCCCGCCAGACGTTCGGCCAGCAGGAAGAGGGCCAGAAGAAGCCCGCCAGCATTAGGGGGCTGATTGCGCAGATTCCAGTTGCAGCACCTGACGAGGCGATCGCCAACATCACGGTGTGGGAGCCGCCGCCGCCAGAGGCGGACGAGCTGAATATGCACAAGTCAAAGGCCCAGTCGAAGCTCCAGAAGTTCGCCAATATCCTCGTCGCGGTCCGCGACGCGGGGAAGGAGGATCCAGCCTTGGAGTTCGACATCGGAGTGCTCAAATACATGATGAGCGCCTGCAAAGGTTCAGAGAAGCAGTTGCATGAGTTGAAGGCCCAGCTCATCAGCGCCAAAGAGAGGCTCGGCAAGATCCGAGCTAAGGTCGAAGAGCTGTTAGACGAGGAGGCGACGCTCTGCCTAATGGTGCAGAAGCTGCAGAACTCCATCCAGCAGCTCCGAGAAGCGGAGGACGCACCAGATCATGATGAGGACTGGTTGATGGCCCCGCCAGGAGGAAGTGAACATGGTCTCAGGGCAGCCAGCAGTGCCCAGAGGCCATGGGTGCAAGCGGCGGCTCAGAGGGCGGCAGCGCAGGCAGAGGCAAAGGCTCAGTCAGCCAAGGCCGCGACGGAGGCGATAGCCAGCAGAGTGCCGCCGCCGCCGCCACCAACGCCCAATCGGCCCCTGCCGCAGATGCATGCGTACCAGCCACCCCAGAAGGCAGCCCCAATGGCAGCTTCAGGGGCGGCGCGCAGCCAGCCAGCCACAGCAGCAATGGCGCCGACGGCTACAGAGCCCGCTAGCCCGCGTACCGCTTGGCACAGAGGTCCGCGGACGGAGGAGCAGGAAGGCCCAACGGCAGAGGCCGTCACTGCGATGGCGGGGCATATGAAAGCCGTGCAGGCCCAGCAGCAGGCCATCCAGGAGCACCTCTCGAGAATGCAGACGGGCCAGAACTTCCACACCTTCGCATTGGCCAGGGTATTGGGAGTTGGCATCGGTGCAACGCCAGGTGATGTGCTCATGGGCGCGCAGACGATTCAGAAGGCACAGCGGGCGGTGATCTCGGGACATTGGGTCCCCAGCGCGAGCCCCCCTGACCTTCAGGGGTTGGCGCCGGAGCGCACACCGAGGGGCGCCGCCCCGACGGCGCCGGATTTTGGCGCAGCCCCCCCTGGTGCAGCGCCAGCCACGGGGCCGAGGGCGCCTACGCAGCGCGGTGCGAACTTGTCAGAGGCCCCCGTGGCAAAGACACCGCCACCGAGGAGACAGTCGGCATCGCCGACGCCAGCCAGGGCCCCCAGCATTGGCGTCTCAGCCGAGACAAGGGCCCGGGCCGTGGAAAAGGCAGTCCCAGACACACCGAGGGTGAAAGGCGTGTCCAGGGTGACAGCAGAGCTGCAGAGGAGCGATCCCAAGGAGGAGGTCATGCCGATCGATCCAGAGCTACTGATTGCGACGCAGCCAATGGTGATGGAGGAAATGATCCCAGGTCCAGTGCACATCTTGCAGCACATCCAGGGGGCCTCCATCGACTTGGTCAGTCAGACGCAGCGCTCCCCCACACCACCGCGGGCGCAGAGGTCGCCTGGGTCGCCAATGGACCCTCCGCAGCCAGTGCCCGCGGCGCTGTTCCCCCCTGCATGGGCAGCAGCAGCGTCGCCGCAGCGTCTTCAAGGGCAGCGTCGTCGGCATCTCATGCGCAGGCAGCGGCCTCGTCGGGGCCGACGACAGCGCCAGCGGCAACAGCGGCGGATGCACCTCCTGCGGCTTCGAGGACCCGACCGCTAGAGGAGGAAGACAAAGAGAAGGACGTGGGAGATTCGCCCAACAGGTCCCCCCCAAGAAGATGCAGTGCCAGGGTTACGAGCTGGAAGACGGGTCCAACTTGTAAGGCCCAGCAGGGTCTCGTGGGGCCCAGTCGAAGTGAGACGCTTTGAGGCGCATGCGCCGAGAATTGTCCGACAAGCCAGGGACGCGCTTTCTCGGACCTGTTTCACTAGGCCGATTCTTAGGTCGGACCCTGTCTCGGATATCTCGTCCAAGGGTTGTGGTCTTGGGAATTCGCAGACAGACAATGCCATTACCTCGGCCGCCACTTCAGGTGATACCACTGAGGACTCATCGTCATCTTCCACTCGGTCCAACGGCCGAACGAGATATCGCTTGTGGGGCAAGACCTCGAAGGAATATATTTTCTTGCCTCGTCCTCGCGAATTACAGCATGCTGAGCATGAGGAGCGAGGACACGAGGCCAATCAAACGTCAATTACAGTTGCGGTTGTGCCCGATCCCCCTCCACCGCCGTCGCACCCCGCCCCATCCAGGGAGCAGCTCGAAGCAGTTGCAGGGGGGAGTGTGCTGGCCTTGAGGGGGGATGGTGGGTATACTACTTCCCTGCACCTGTTCCCTTTACTTTTCCAGAATCCTGAGAGCAATGGCAGTGGGCACTGTGGTTTTCAGGAGGCGGACAGGATATATCAGGTGTTACTCCAGAACATCAACTGGTTTGAGCTTTGCAATGGCGATTTTGGAGACATCCCCTTACATCGCACTGCCAAGTTTGCTCTGGATATCTCTGCGCGCGGGGCACATAGAGCACGGTCAGTACATATCAATGTCGACGCCTCGTACAGAAAGACGCTCAGGGACTCAGCCTGGGCCTTCGCTGCTGTCGCGATCTCGCCTGGCGACGCGGTGAGCTTCCTCGGGTGGCAAAACATGAGCGCGTGGGAATCCACAGCAATGCAGTTCGAAAGGGACGATGTCACTAGCACGACTATCGAGCTCATGGTAATATGAAGGAGTTCACTCGGGATCTTGGGTTTCTTTGGGCCGAACACGGTGCACTTTCCCCCAGCTCTGGTCATTTTTTGTGATAACCAGTCGGCTGTCAACATATCCTTGGGTTTGGAGGTCCCGTCGGAGAACCTGCACCTGGCCTGGCTTACATACCATGTGTATCAGTGTTCGCGCAGGAGGCACGGCACTTTGCTTTTGCATGTATGCGGTCACTCTGGGCATCCCTGGAATGAGTTGGCAGACAGTTTAGCACGGTCGGACCGAGCGGTTGGGTGCTCGCCCCCGCCGGCCTTGCGCGAGGCACTCAGGTACACAAATGACCTCGAGTGGTGGTGGCTTAAGGAGGCACCTATGGCCACAAGAGAAGCTTATCCAATAGGCCCTGACAACACCTTTCGGTATCCTGGGCGTCCTCAAGCGTCGGTGGATACGCTAAGGGATACGGTCGGATCCCAACCCTCGCAGAAGCCTGTCCCCAAGTCCTGTCAGTTCAGCATCAGCTTGAGGCTTGCCACATTCAACGCCAAGACAGGTAGGGACGCGGAGGCCACGGCGGCAAGACGCGCCAAAACGTCGGGCGAGGTTCTCAGACTGCAGTTTGCTCAGGAACATTGCCACATCGTCGGGGTGCAGGAGGCGCGAAATCCGTGGGGGGAAAGGTGTTCTGCTGGTTACTTTGTGCTTTCCTCGGGATCTGACGGTGGCGAGAACTTGGGCGTGGAACTCTGGATCTCCCTGCACCTGCCGTGCGGGCGGCGAGGGGGCGAAGATCTGTACTTTGAACAAAAACATTTTAGGCCGTTGTACGCTACCCAGAGGCATCTCGTGGTTGGCTGTTGCGCCCCACTCTTCAGGAAGGTCATCCTAGTTGCCCGTGCGTTGCACGACGGAGACGAATATACCTCGCAGCAGAGGAAACAGTGGTGGCGGGACCTCATAGGTTTCGGCCGCAAATGGAAAGTCCAGCTGGCTTTCCTGGATGCGAATGCCAGGCTCGGCAGCATCGTGACTGACGCAGTGGGAAGTGACGGATTCAGGCAGGGCGAGGACAAACCGGGCGGACTTTTCCACGACATGCTCTTGAAGACGGGTTTGGCCGCCGCCAACACGCTAGCTCCCTCCCTCAGCCAGGACTCGTGCACGTTCGTCTCGTCTAAGTCTGAAACACCACACATAATAGACTACATTGCGGTTGAGCAGAGTCTGATTCCCGCATTGGACCAACACCAAGTCCGATATGATATTGATTCCTTCTGCACTGGCAAGGATCATTATCCTGTCTTCATGCGCTTCGAGTCCCAGGGCTCCACCAAAGTAGCGCAACGGCAGAGCGGCTACGACGTTTTGGGCACCCAGGACCCTGATAAGGCAGCGGCCTTCAGGATGCACTTTGCAGCTTTTCCCACGGTGCCCCACCAGGTCGACATGAATCAGCATTTGCACGACATTATTCAATACATGTACGTGGGTGCACAAACCTGCTTCCCTAAACCCGCACGTACCCCGATCAAACCGTATGTATCGGAGGATCTTCTTTGAGTAATCATCTTCAGAAGGCAAGTGCGACAGGCATGGCGTCTCTGGGGCAAGCATGACTCTGGTGGTGTCAGGAGGCTGGTCGCCGCGTCGCTTGAGGCGGGGCCCCCCCGGAACATCGCCGACCTAGAGCTGGACTTCTTTGTTTCGGAGCTTTTCCAGGCAGCCGCCGATTGGGATACTCAGATGCTGACGGCAAGCGAGCTAGCTGCGCACATGCTTGACTTTCTGGTCAGGTCGAAGCCGGCCCTGAGAAGGGCCTTGAAGCATTCCCGCAACAAGCTGTTAGATGACCTCGCGCAGCAGTTGAGCAGCGCCAGGTCCTCAAACGAGAGTCGAGTGGAATGGGGGGTGCTATGCCAGCTGCAAAGGTTTGAGGGGAAACGCTCCAGGTTCCAGGTCGAGGGGCTGAGAATCCGACGTGGTCCTCAGGGCGAGGTGTTGGCCACATCTGGGGATCTCTCGGAGGCCCTCACTGACTATTTTGCTGTTGTTGAGAATGGGCAGACACTCAGCTGGGAAGAGCTGGTGGAAAGATACAACGCCCTCCCCGGACATGGCAATGTTTACCCCAGGGAGTTGGACATGATCACCCCCCTTCGCAGACTCAAGCACGACATCATGAGGGCAGCCAAGAGAAGAGGAGCTGGGCCTGACGGACTCAGCAACGATCTCTTCCAGGTCGCCCCACAAGAGTGCACGCAGATCCTGTTGCCTTTGTTCGTGAAGGTAGAGATGGCGTCCAGGGAGCCCCTGCTGTTCAAAGGAGGTTGGCAATGTGATTTACACAAATCTGGGTCCCCCGAGCCCCTGGAACACTACAGAGGCATCCTGCTAGGATGTCACACGGCGAAGTTGCACCATGCCTTCCTCAGAAATAAATTGCTAGAAGCATCGATGCACATGCTGTTGGTGGTCCAGCAGGGAGCTCTTCCTCAGCGTGGCACTGACATTGCATCCTTGCATCTTCGGTCGGCCATGATGGCAGCCAAGGCTAGGAAGTGCACATGCCTATCGTTGTACACTGACCTGAAGGCGGCATTCTATTCGGTCATCCGAGGTTTCGTTGCCAGAATGGCCCAGAACAGCGAGGACATTCACAACGCGTTGGCGGGCTTGGAGATACCAAGTTGTCTTGAGCCACTCTGCCATGCTCTAGTCGCCAAGCCTGGCGCTCTGGACGGCCTTGCGAATAAGCACCTCCTGGAAGCAGTGGTTGACGTGATGGAATGCAACTGGTTCCAAGTACGCGGGAGCACCAGGGTTGTTTCCCCCCGCCTAGGTACGAGGCCAGGCATGCCACTAGCAGACCTCCTGTTCATCATAGCCTTCGACCCAATCATAATAGCGGTCAACAGTAGATTTGGAGCTCTGGGTATCTTCAGAGGACTAGGGATGTGGACCCGTCTCAGAGGATTTTCAGAGGCCGTGAGCACGAACATGTAGAGGAAGATGTATGGGATCCTGCCTTCATGGATGACCTCGTCAACGGCATCGAGCTGTTAGACGTTAGGCTCTGGAAGGGGGCGGCCATCGCCCTTGTCACGATTATGTACGAAGAAACCAAGTCTAGGGGGTTCACCATGAACTGGAAGGCGGGCAAGACGGAGCTCATGGCCCTCTTCAGCGGCACAGGCTCCAGGAGGGCACGAGGGGAGTGTGCGGCCTTGGCCGCCACTGGTCTTCTCGTCCCCTCCTTAGGCGTCTCCCTCTGCCTCACTAGAACCTACAAGCACTTGGGAAGTTATCAGGACCGTCAGATTTCTCTGGGACCCGAGCTGGCGCACCGATGCCATCAGCAGCGACGTCCTCTCGGGGCGCTGAGGCGCACGGCTATCCCCAGAAAGCAAGTCAATTTAAGGGCCAGGTTAAGTTATGCCACTTCTGTGTGCACGTCGCACCTTCTGTTTAATGCCCTTACGTGGCACAAGTTAAACGTCAAACAGATGGCGACCCTGGCGCACAACTATTTGAGCCCGTTTAGACTGGCGGCGGGTCTCGGTTACGACTCTAGTTCAGGTAAGGCTGCTGCAGACCACAGAGTCTTTGTCACGTGTGAGCTCATGCCCGTTCAGCTGGTGTTGAGGCTCAGGCGGCTGCGATTTCTTCCCAGGCTTCTCAAATCGGCGCCTGCTTGTTTGCTGGCGATCCTCGACGAGTTAGCTTCAGTGCCCGAGTCATGGTCCGCATTGTGTTGCGATGACCTTTTGTGGCTCAGCAGACATGTGAATATAGCCAGGGAATTCTTGCCGCCAGGGCCCCCTGCGTGTCGGTTGTGGCTCCTGGGGTCAAGCAGCAACAAGTTTTGGAAGCGAATTTGCAAGCAAGCGGAATCGGCTGCTAGGTCCAAATTTTTGGACGATCAGCGTCATGAAGAATTCAAGGACGGGTGGCGGAGGTGCTGCATTGCCAAGGGTCTTGCGCTCCCGTCGTTTCTGCGTCCGCCGTCGGCTCCTGCCTTGTATCCCTGCCTGGATTGTGGGGCGGTGTTGGCCACCAAGGGCGCGCGGGCCTCCCATCGCTCGAAGTGCCACCCCCATCTAGACCCCGCCCCCAGCTGCGCTTCAGGCACCGTGTGCATGACTTGCGGTCTCAACTTCCACACGCACCTCAGATTGCTCAAACACGTTCGGCATGGCTCATCGAAGTGCTTGGCGGACCTCATGGCCGTCATCCCCCCGCTGAGCCCCGAACAGGTGATGATGGATGAGGCGGAGGACGCGGAGCTTGCCCGCGCACTCCGCGAGAAAGGTCATTACGCGGAGTCAGCGCAGCTGCCGCCTGTCCCCACGACAGGTCCTAGGCTGAGGGGTGCGGCTGCCTCCAAGGGCCTCCCCACTAGCATGCCGAGAATTTCTTGCCAACCCGTGTGTATCCAGGAAGAGATGCCCACTCAGACGGCGGTCCACCTGCCCGCGGCCCCCGGCGCTAAGTACATTATGATCCTCCGTGCAGCTCCCAGGAGTCAAGGTGACATCCAAGATAGAGCGGAGAGGTCCAGTGCCATGGCGGGCATGAATGGTTTTGTTCTGTCACTAAATATCCTCGAACTTTTCCAGAATTCCATCGAGGGGTTTCACAGGGAGATGTTGTTCATTACTGATCTTATTCTAGCTGGGCGTGTTGTTGGTCTCTTAGCGGACTGTCTTCTTTCCTCGTGGGGCCCTGCCCCCCGCTGCAAAGCCAAGGGTGGAGGGGGCAGGCCTTTAAGGAGCTGCGATGAGCCTTGGGGGATTTCAGCCAGGTCGCCCTCGGAGTAGAGGCAGCTGGACCTCGACAATGCGTGCCTTCGGTCGGCACTGACGCTGGCGCTGTGTGCGGCGTCCTCTGGCCTGGCGACCTGGCTCATTTTAAGCCCACCTGCTCCGCAAGCCAACTTGCCCTGTATTTGGAAGGTCCCCGAGGTCAGGTTCCTGTGCTCCCTGCAGGCAACGTCTCCGACAATCGCGTCGAGCTGTGTGCCCATCGGGGACCGTCAGTGCCTGTGCATGAACGCCGTGCCGATCCTGGCCCCTCCTGACAGCAGCCAGGTAGAAGTCTACGTAGCTGCTGTTATCACGCAGGCAGCCTCACAACGCTGTGCCCCCACGCCTCCTGGGGATGCATGGCTAGAGGCTTCAGTTGCCCATCTATACGCCCCGCTCGATCTGTATTGTGAGTCGGGTTGATGCTGGCCATTGCTGCTCTCCTCGTCCCCCGCTATACTTGCCGCCTATCTCACCGCTGACGTATGCATGTGTGGACACCTCAGACGTTGGTCCTCAGGGCTGTGGGAAGAAGAAGGAGGAGGAGGAGTTTGAGGTGAAGGCGGAGGAGGAGGAGGAGGAGGAGGAGGAGGAGGAGGAGGAGGAAGAGGAGGAGGGAGGGCGGAGGAGGAGGAGGAGGAGGAGGAGGAGGAGGAGCAGGAGGAGCGTCCTCCTCCTCCTCCTCCTCCTCCTCCTCCTCGTCCTCCTCCTTTTCCTCCTGCTGCCCCTTCCCGTGACCGGCTTTTTCATGCCGATCCGTATCCTGACTGCTCCGAGGCCCAGCGAGGGCCCGTGGAGGCCGAGAACGGCAGAAACCCTGCCGTTGTGATTCGGTTCACGATGCGACGGGGGTCTGGGGATACCTCTGGGAAATCCGTGCGTCTCGATGTGTTGCCCGATTTTCTCCACGTCGACTTGGCCAACGTATCGCCGAAGTCGCTGATGCATCGCCGATGCATCGGCGATGCATCCACGATGCGGCGCGATCCTACGACCTCATCTAATACTCTGCCCCCATCTGTCAGGCGTCTAGCCATTGTCCAGCTTCTCGTCCCGAGTCGTTTTCTGTTGGCTCCGAGCTCCAGAGGCCGAACATAGCGAAAAACCTTCCGTCGACATTTCGACGACCCGAGGGGGTCTGGGGCGCTCCCCGAGCCACATCGATCCGCGAGGGCGTCGTGGTGGCCCGAGCGCCAGCCGACAACCTCCTCGGCGTGGGAGCGCAGCGCCCGAGACGCCTCCGGGCAGCCCTCGCAGGCGCCGCCGCGCGGGCGAACGAAATGTGCTAGCGATCTCTAGCGGGCGGGGAGGATGAGGAGGAGGAGGAGGAGGAGGAGGAGCTGGAGGAGGAGGAGGAGGAGGAGGAGGAGGAGGAAGAGGAGGAGGAGGAGGAGGAGGGAGGATGAGGAGGAGGAGGATGAGGAGGAGATGAGGAGGAGAAAAGGAGGAGGAGGAGGAGGGAGGAGAGAGGAGGAGGATGAGGGGAGGAGGAGGAGGAGGAGGAGGGGGCGGCGCCGCCGAGCATCACTAGGTATTCTGTTGGCGCTAGCGATAGCTTGCCAGAGGGATGTACTCTTTGCGTCCTACCTGGACCTCCCTGGGGCGTCACGGTTTTTTTTCGTCGCGGTGGCCCCCAGAGGGCTCGACCCATTCCCCGGGGCGGCTTTTCAGCCCGAGTCGTCTTTGGAGGGTCCCGAGGACCAGTGGTGCCCCACGGTGGCCGGAATCGATGTCGTTGTTCTTAAGATAGGCTTGCCCTATAGGAGTCCTAGCTCAAACCCTGCTAATTGGTCCGTTGCCCCCCCTAATTCCTATGCTCCCCCCTAATTCCTATGGCTATGCCTATGCCTATCTCCCCCTTTTTCCAAAGGCACCCCCCTTATGCTTGCGCGCTTGCATGCTTGCTTGCTTGCTTGCTTGCTTGCACGCTTGCTTGCTTGCAAGCTGAGTTGCGGATATCAAGCATGCTCGATTCCTCTGATTCTTTGATTTCAGTCGTCTATCTTATTTGGAGTCAACGCTGGCTGATTTTTTTCACTACGTTGGATCTCTGGGCAGGGTGACCTCTTGAAGCTCGCCGAGCGGCAGCGACCGTGATCTGTGCTTCTGGGGCCACGGAGGAAGGGGTAATGCTCGCAGCGCAAGAGCAAGCCCAAGCAGCCCGCTCGCAAGTGAGAGCAAGCGTACGATCCGAGCTTCTTGCGAATGGGGGTCGCAAGGATTGATCTCCAAGTTAGCTCCCCTGGGATCCGACGCTGCGACAAAAATACAACATCGCCAAGAAGCACGACCAGCACCCCATACCCCATCTTTCTGCGGCACTCTTCGAGCCAGATCGATCTGTGAGGGTTCTGGGGCCCGCATCCCGGCGAAAACGCCCGTTCTGAAAAAATTGTAAGTCAAGTCAAGTCAAGTCTGGTCGAGGGGCCTGGAGGCCGCTCGCTCCGCAAGCGGAGACGGAGGGCGTGAAACAATACGGCAAGAAAACGCGCATGCAAGAAAAATGGTGAATCTTATATCG